GCGCTCGCTACATTCTGGAAAAAACGGCGTTTCACTAAAGCGAGAAGACAACTAGAGTAAAGCGGAGGAACGGCTGGGTAAAGCTGCGCGCAGAGATTTCGCTCCTCCCATCAAATCTGGCACGGGACTCCAGGAGCGAGGGCGAGGCGTAAGTTCGCCAGAGGGCCCAGGCCCCGTCGCCGCCGTCGCCGCCATGTTCGTCGTTGTCGTTGTCGCCGTTGCCGCCGTCGTCGTCACCGTCGGCGCCAGCGCCGCCGTCGTCGTCGCCGTCGTCGTCGTCGCCGCGACGCCCGCGCATTCACGTTATTACCAGCGGCGCGTCGCGCGCGACCGCGCGTGCCACTGCGTTCGCATCTCCGCTCGTCCGACCGGGGGCCAGGCGGACATCATGATTTTTCTTGCGCCCACAACTCGTTCAAAGTAAGCATTGGAAAGAACGCCTCTGATCACAGCCAGATCATCATTCACACCCAGACTCACACAAACTCGAGCTCACTTGGCAAACAGACTCGCTCATGCTAAAACCAATGCATCCCCACGTGGCAGGCGCAGCACTTGGGCACCGCGTGGAGAAAGCGCGGGGGGGTATTCATCGGGCACGCTCGCGGCCAGATTGTGGGGATGTCTCACGCGGTTCGCCTGTTTCGGAGCCTTCGGACTCAACTCGCTCGAAGGCCACGTGCTCATGGAAGAGCCGCCGAGGCCCGTGCGTGCCGAGATTGCGAGAATGTCTGAAACGTTTCACTAGTTTCGGCGCCTCGGGCTCCTGTCTTTTGACAGCCCCAGTGCTCACAGCGATCTGGCAGGCAAGGTGGCGCAAGACGGCCGAAGAGGCCCCCAGGTGGTTCAGAGGGAGAGCTCGAATGAGCTCCCGGAGCCCCCCCTCACGGCCAAACCCCTACCATCGCCTCCAGGTTACCCATGCCCCCCCAAGAGAGCCCCCAAAGTGCCCCGAGGAGACGCGGCAGGAGACGTGCCATTGGGGCGCGCCAGGACACGCGCCCAGGTGACGTGGCAGGGAACGCTCCGCAGACGTGCCAAGGGGATGCGCCAGGAGATGTGCCATGGAGCGCGTCAAGGGACGAGCCAAAGGAAGAGCCAGGGGGGCGCGCCGGGAATCGTGGACGTACCGCGCGACGCGCCAGGGGGCATGCCATGGGACACGCCGGGAGACGAGCTGTGGAACGCTCCAGGGGATGTGCCAGGGGACGTGTCAGGAGATGTGCCGCATACGTGCCAGGGGCCTTAGCCAGAGGACGAGCCAAGGGGCACGCTAGAGGCCGTATCAAGGGAAGCGCCGACGGGCGGACCGCAGACGTGCCAAGGGACACGTCAGGGGGTGCGCCACGGGACACACGAGACGATCCCGGGGGCGCACCAGGGGAGCGCGCCAGGTGACGTACACACAGGAACTAACATTTTTCCAGATGCTGTCGTGGGGCCTGCCAATTTGCTCTAAGCGGACGCGCCAGGAGACGCGCCGCGCCAGGTGACCACCTGAGGCGTCCTAGGGCCGCTTGGGGCCTCCGCGCTCAATTGATTCTGGAGGACTCGCTTTGGGGGTTGCGACACCTTCGAGCGGACACGCAGGGGGGGGGGGGCATTTTCAATTCTGCGGAATCAATCAGCCTCTGGATGCGTTCTAGGTGGGACTCAATGCAAACACATCTCCTCATGTTTCATTGGGATAGCGAGCCTAAGACTCAACGCAACACCATCCGCCACCGTGCCTCTGGGCACGGAGTGTCCTCAGGTCCTTTGCCTAATCCCCTGAGCCTCAGTCCTCAATCCTGTAGAGTTGTTTCCAGGGCATGGACCTGGAATTCTCAAATCCGCTGGGGCTTGTCGCGGTTTCCTTTGGTTCCTGGCATCTTGACGCATGACCTTTTCGGGCCCAAGAGGGCCCTAAGACGGACCAAGAGGGCCCCAAGTGGCCCCCAAGAGGGCCCCCAGACGCCTAAAGGTCGGCCCAAGACGCCCAAGATGGCCTCAAGATGTCCCGGGATGCCTCCAATAAGCTTCAAGCGGCCTTCAAGAGGCCTCCTAAGAGGGCCTCCAGAGGCAAAACCGCATCCAAAAAATAGCCGTTTCGCTGGGAACATCCTCAACACATCGCGATCTTGGGGATCCTAGCCCAAGACACCTCATGATAAGAATGAGCGTTTCGCATGCGACAGCCTCGAAAATGGCAATGTTGAAACAGGACGGCCCAAGAGGCACACGAGATGGCCCCAACACGGCCCCAGAGGCCCCGAAGACGGCCCCAAGAGGGCCCCAAGACGGTCCAAGAGGCCTCCAAGACACCCCATGGGCCTCCAAAACGGCTCTGGAGCACCCCAAGAGGGCCCCAAGTCGGCCCAGAGAGGCCCCAACGACAGCTTCCGACGGCATGAGACGGGCCATGAGCCCACCAAGACGGCCCAAGAAGGCTGACGGCTCCACTATGGCCCAAGACGGCTCAAGAGGCCCCCAAGAGGTCTCTAAGACTGCCCAAGAGGCCTCCAAGAGGGCCTCCAGGAAGGCCCAACGAGGCCAAAATCATTGATTTCCCATTGGTATTTCGAGGATGTTGGCATTTGCTTCTTTTCAGCCTTCCGACGGCCCGAGACAGCCCACGCGCCTCCCAAGATCGCCCCAAGATCGCCCAATAGGCCTCCAAAATGGCCCCAGAATTGCCCAAGAGGCCCCCAAGGCGGCCCCAAGAGGGCCCCAAGACGGTCCAAGAGGCCTCCAAGACGCCCAAACTTGCCTCCAAGGGCCCTGGAGCACCCCAAGAAGGCCCCAAGTCGGCCCAGAGAGGCCCCCAAGACGGCTTCCGACGGGCCACGAGCCCACCAAGACGGCCTAAGATGGCTCCAAGATGGCCCAAGACGGCCCAAGGGGCCCCTAAGAGGTCTCCAAGAGGCCTCCAAAAGGGCCTCCAGGAAGACCCAACGGCGCCAGAATCAACCATGTTTGTTTGTGTTTGAAGGATTTGGGCATTGGCTTCTGTTTGGCCGTCCGACGGCCCGAAACGGCGCAAGCGCCCCCAAAGATCGCTCCACGATCGCCAAAGAGGCCTCCACGATGGCACCAGAACTGCCCAAGAGGCCCCCCAAGATGGCCTCCAACACTGCCCTGGAGCACCCAAGAGGGCCCCAATTCGGCCCAAAAAGGCCTCCAAGACGGTTTCCGACAACGTCAGACGGGCAAGGAATGCCGTAAGACGGCCAACGGCGCCTCCGAGATACCCCCAAAGGCCCCCCCAAAAGGCACAAGGAGGCCCCCAAGATGGCTCCAAGAGGCTGGAAGCTCCAAGGAGGCCCCAAGAGTGCTCCCAGAGTCGTCCGAGATGCGCCCTCCTCCTCCTCCTCCTCCTCCTCCTCCTCCTCCTCCTCCTCCTCCTCGACCTCCTCGACCTCCTCCTCCTCCTCCTGATCTTCCCCGCCATCCTCCCCCACGAGTTCCCCGAAAAGGTTTCCACAACGGCTGGGAGAACACATGGTCCAATAGCTTGGCAGAGCTCTTGCCACAACGCTTGGCCACATAGGCGATGCCAAAGGCAAGGGGTGGCGGTGATTCGCCGTAGGCGTCATCGATATGGTCCCACATGTTTTGTTGGGATAGCGAGGGTCCCCCCGAACACTGCGATTCATCGGGGGAGGGCGCACCTTCTTTGAGCGGGTACGCACGGGATGCATTTCTTCAAACGACCAGCTGCCCGCAAACCGCTACGTATCGAAGATAAGGCTGCCTGCACCCTTCAGTCATGGCACTGGGGACAAGTTTACCTTCTCAGAGAGACCCCCGGGTCCGGGCGTTTTTCCACAACCAACATTCAAACCGTCCCCGAGGGCTGTCAAATTTGTACCTGGGCGAGCACATGCACATGTCTGTGTAACGCCATCCACGCTCCCGCATGCGCGAATGAATGCAGGCCAGCGGACGCTGACCTGTGCTGTTGGCCTCTGGCTACCTGCTCCAGCGCGTGAGGACGTGCTAAGTTAAGAGCCCACTCTTTGCATTTAGCACCACCGCTGCACCGCGGCTACCTTATGCGTGGTGGGCCAACGGTGCTGTTTCAGCTCTTCCTCCTTGGCGAGTCCCCCGTGCAACATCGGAGCCAACGTGTGCGCACATGTTGTTCCTAATTCCAAGCTGATGTTCTGCTTGCTGTCCGAGACCAGCAAAGATGCAGCCGAAACCTAAGTTCACAGTGGAGGTGTGACGCCTCCCCCAACACTCCCTCACCCCCTCTCCTCCGTGCCCCTCCCGTAATCAGCGCGGTGGCATACATAAGCGACAACTAGAGCAGTGACGAAAGTGTCAGAAGCCCTTGCTAGGTGGGACAATCGTAAGTACAGAGATGACGCTGCTTGTAAACAAGGCTGGGGAGCAATGTGCCTAAAGGGCACGATAAACCTTGACACACATGTTCGACTGCGCATGGGCACTGGCGTTCGCGCTGTGCTATCTACGATTGCGATGGCACTGCAGATGATCCGTACCAGCCCCGCCGGCACGGCAACGATGATCACCGATGTGGCAGGATGCTGCAGCTCGGCGCGCGCCTCTTCCAGCGCAGGCGCGCGCAGTATCTCGACCTCCGCCGCGCCCCCACCCCACAGCTCTCATGGCGACGCGCCCCAAACCCTGGCGCCAGGGCGCCGCGAGGGCCGCCGCTGCGGGCCCGCGTGGCCCCAGGAGTGCCACACCCCGGGGCGCCGCGAGCGCCGCGAGCTGGTGGCCCGCGCGGCCCCCCCAAAGGGCCGCACCGAGGGCGCCGCCTCGGCGTGGAGACGGGCCCGGCCGGTGCAGCAGAGGCGGCCGTCCGAGTCGCGCGCCAGCGCCATGGGGCGGCCGCCCGCCGCGGCCGCGGAGCGCCGACCCGCGCCGCCGCCGACGCGCCCGGAGGGCGCCCGCGCATCGCGAGGCCCGCGCGAGCGCCGCCCGGCCCGGCCTCCGCGAGGCTCGCGCGAGGCTCGCGCGAGCGTCGCGAGGCTCGCGCGAGCGTCAGAGCGTCACCCACACGGGGGGTCCTCCTGGCCGCCCTCGTCCTCGCCCGCCGCCGCGGCGCGCCGCACGCCGCGGAGGGCGCCGCAGCACAGCACGCCCGCGGCGAGGCCGTAGGGCACGGCGCAGGCGGAGGCGTAGGCGAGGAGGCACTGCCCGCGCTGCTCCTGGGCAAATCGTTTCGCCGATCCCTGCCCCCACCGGCGTGGCCGTCGCGCCACGGTCCGGCTTACACACCCAGGTGGGGGTGCATGATCCCAGGCCCACGGGCCCACGGGCCCACGCCCCCCCCAGATGGGACGGGTCTCAGGGTCCCTCGGGCCCCTCTCCAGATGGAATGGAGGGGGACGACGACGACGACGACGACGACGACGACGACAAAACCGTCCGCTCTGGCTCCCTGAAGCACCGCAACACCACGCCACACCCAGAGGGAGCCGACGACGGGGACGATGTTGCTTCTCCTCCTCCCTCCGTCCCCCTCCTCATCCCTACCTCCTCCTCGTTCCTAGGCCCTCTCTTCCCTACCTCGCTCCTTTCTCTCACTCTCTCGCACGCCCACAGGGAAGGCCCCACCACGCCACGCCCAACGGGGGGGGGAGGAGGGCCGATGGCATGAGTATGAGGGGGCGGGAGGCCTGGACCCTAGCACACAGATGTCTGCTCCTCCAGGTTCGCGGGAGCGTACCTGTCCTGACCCAGGAGGGTGGGCCTGTGGGTCGGGGATCTTCTGACCCGGGTCAATCCAGACCCGGGTCAGTCAGGCCTCGCAGGATCCTGCAAGATCCTGCAAAGTCCTGCACCCAAGCCCGGGTCAATGCGAAGGGCCCTGCAGGATCCTGCAGCATCCTGCGCCCAAACCCAGGTCAAGATTCGGCGCTCTGGCTGACCCCCGTCTGCATTGACCCCCGTCTCAAGGCTCCCGGGTGGGGCTGAGATACCATGGTTCGCGGGACCGTACCTGCGTTCGTGGGGCTGCGCATGCCTGCTCCTCCAGGTTCGCGGGACCGTATCTGTCCTGACCCAGGAGGGTGGACCTGTGGGGCTGAGTTACCGTGGCCCGGCGGGGATGGGAACAGGTCAGTTGCTGCTCTGCGCTCCGGCCCCACCATTGCGGCATCGCACGCGGGCATGCGCCTGGCCAGCGGCATGAGCGAGGCCATCGCGGCCTGCCAGGGGCCCTCGTGGGGGAGACGAATTTTACAGACACCGCCTCTCTGCGGCCCTCTCCCGAAGCACGTTCTGACCAAGATTTCGGAGGAGAGGAGAGGAGAGGAGGAGGAGGAGGAGGAGGAGGAGGAGGAGGAGGAGGAGGAGGAGGAGGAGGAGTGCGGAGAGAGAGAGAGAGCTGCCGCGCTGGTTGGCTCAAGGGTAAAAGGCATTCCGCAGGTTATGAGCCCCGCGCGCTTGCCCCTCCAATCTCCTCATCTCTCGGGCCTTCTCTTTCTTTTCTTCGTTCGTGCGCGCCGCAATGCCGACATGGGTTGACACCCCGATCCCTGACGGCGATGACGATGACTTAGTCGATCCGATCACGAGCACGATTTCCACTGGAGCGCCCGCGCCAGAGGGTTTCTCGACCCCCGTAGTCACCCGGTCGCGTCCTCGTGGTGCCGACAGCTGTGACGCTGTGTCACGTCCGGCTGAAAGCACCGATCGTCGCATGCCCGTCACCAACAGATCCGACAGCCGTGACGATGTGTCACGTCCGGCTGGAAGTACTGGTTTTCGCATGGCCGCCACTACCTCGCCCGACAGCCGTGACGCTGCGTCACGTCCGGCTGGACGGCAGGTAGACCCGTCCGATCTGCATCCTCCTGGCCTACCGCCTCGTGGCGATCATCCTCCAGGACCGCCCTCTCCAGGCTCGCCGTCAGACGTCAACGCATTTCTGATGTGCAAGATGGCGGAGAGCTTGGCGGAAGTCGCCTCAGCCATGCAATCGAACAGCGGCGGAAGCAAACAACCATTACAGCTGCTGCCAAAGGGGCCGCGCACCCTACCAACCGTCAAGAGTTGGCGCCATTGGGTGCGCACGAGGTTGGCGAGCTGGCGCGGCTGCCAAGCGGACGGATTTGCGGAATCTGTCCGCCAAGTGCTTGCCGACCCAGATTTTGACACCAGCCCCATCCACGACAATCCACGTTTCGCCAAGGCCAATAAGGCTCTTGCGTTCGAATTGTCAGGGCTAGCCGATGAAGACATGAGTCTGTATCTTCAGTCGGCCGACCGCGCCGATGGAATCTCAATGCTCGCATCGCTGGCCCAAGCCATCATGGCATCCAGCGCGTCCCACGCGGCAGCCTTGAACGACAAATTCTCGGACCCGACCCCTGTAACCGACAAAACCCACCTCCAGCACGCACTGCGCATCTGGAAAATACGAGGAGCTGCGAGCCATAGGATCGACACCGTCCAAGCAAACAACATTGCGGTCACTCACAAAGCTAGTTGGGAAAGTAACGCCTCTCCAGGTGGCCTTAGAGATGGTGTCCGTGACCAACCCTAACGACCCGGATGCCATCTTCGACGTAGCTTACCGTAAAGCGGGCGAATGGGTTGGTCTTGCCTCTGACGCACCTCCCCCTCTTCCTGTACCTCCTAGCGTCCTAGCCGGAGCAGTCCAGACAGGGAAGGATACCAAAGGCAAGCCCACCAAAGGTAAGGGGAAAGACAACGAGAAGTGGATCCCGTGCTCGTTCTATCTCAGTGGTTTTTGTCAGTACGGCGGCAGATGCAAGTTTGCGCACGCTAGCGGTTACCCACCTTGGCCCGCTTCTCCAAACCCACCCAAGAGTTCTTGGAACCAGCAGTCACAACCACTGCCGAAAGGCATGTGTCGAAAATGCGGCCAGTACGGCCACTGGGGCAATGAATGCCCCAACGAAGGGAAAGGCAAAGGAAAGTACGCAGGTAAGAAAGGAAACAGTGGTACCGCTTACAACCAAAGCTGGATTGGACCCAGCAGCCCGGGCGGCGCCCCGGGGGCTACCATGACTGGCGCCCCCTCGCCACAACCCGGTTGTGATTCTAGGAAACGGAGCCGGATTGGAGCCGGCCAAGTTGGATTTGATGGGCTGGATGGCCGGATCGGCACCTGCCCTGCCTCGTCAAATAGTTTTTCGGGCGGCGGAGCTGCGCCAGCCCAGTCTATTTCGAGTGCGGGTGTCACGCTGGAGACCCTCTCGGCCCTCACGGAGGAGTACATGGCCCAGCAGAAGGAGAACTATAAGGACGCCAAGGCGCTGTTGGCGCGCTTTTCTGGCAATATGGTCCGGGTCCCTGTGCCCGGCCTGACCCTAGGTGTAAACATAATCTCGTCACGCACCGGACTTTCTATGATAAGGGGGCACGGGTGCAGAAAGACACGTGTTGTGTGGAAAAGATTACAAATATGCCTTGAACCGTAGGCCGTTGCCCGAACCACTCGTCTTAGAGACCGCGAACGGTGAAACCGTCGTCACCGAGCAGGCGGACGTCAAGTGCGGCGGCGTCTTCCTGTCGTCGTGCCTGCTGCGCGAGACGGCCACCTCGAGTCTGATGGCCATCATTTTGTTGACCGACTCGGGGTGGGAGTATCGTCAAAGTCGCAATGGAGCCGCTCCCACGGCACCGACCGGCGGCAGTTTCATGTTGGAAAGACACGGTAATTTGCACATCTTACACGACATGGTCGAGCAGTTCCCTGCCCAACCCCCCTCTGACAGCTGCGCCGGTGCATCGCGGCCGGCTGGACGTGGGAAGGGCCACCATACCTTTCCGCCCACTATTTTGGGCGGCGCGGGTGACAGCTGCGCCGCTGAGTCACGGCCGGCTGGAACCGCACCGCCGCCCCCTCCAGACAGTCAGCCTAGCTTCTTCGACAGTTACGCAGGTTTCGCACTCAGGGAGGAGAGGGCCATCATCTTTGACAGCCCCCATTCGGCCATAGAGCACCTTCAGACCAGCAGCGACCAGAAGTTGATGCTGCTCCTCCCCAGCTCCCCTCCTAACTCCACCGAGGGCTCCGTTTTGGACCCAGCCGTTCTCGACCACCTTCGGAAAAGGCACGCCGAGCACGACCCATCGCGTGACATTTGCGCACAGTCCAAACTTCGCGCTCGCCCTGCCCGGCGCCTGCCGGATAAGCCTCAGGACGGCGAGATCTCAGCAGATCTCGCTGGACCGTTGCCTGTGTCTTTGAACGGGAACAAGTATGGGTTCGTAGCGGCATTACGTCGTTCACGCCATGGTTTCGCACACGGCCTCCCGAACAAAGAGTCAAGTACAGTCCGTGACGTCCTGATCACATGCAAACTCGACCAACGCCAGCTCTGGCGCTTCCATTCGGATTCTGGCGGGGAGTTCCTTGGTGAGTGCGAGCGTTGGTTGAGGGAGTCAGGTTTGGTTCATACTACGACTGGCGGGTACAGATCTCAAGCCAACGGTATCGCAGAGCGTCGTATCCAGGAGGTTTTCGCAATCGTTCGGGCCCTGCTCCTCCAGTCAGGCGCTCCGAGTGCCCTGTGGGACGAGGCCCTTCTGCACGCGAACGCGTTGATAAACAACACCGCCCGGGCCGTGCCGGGACGTGATACCAAACAGATTCCGCGAGCATTGGAGGATCCAGAGGGGAGTCACCATGATGTTTCTAAATGGCCACCTTGGGGATGTAAAGTATATTACCACATACCAAAACCGCATCGTTCTGACAAGCTCCAACCAGTTGCAAAGTTAGGTATTTTTGTCGGCTTCGACGCCACCACGTCTGGAGGACACAGGATCGCACCTATTTCTCCGATCGGCGATCGCTGGTCCGTCGAGCAGCCCATTGCGTCGACGACTGTCCGTTTCTTCGACAGCACGTTCCCGCTGCGAGTTCCTGGACGCGCAAATGCGCCCCTCGATGTGCCGCTCGATTCCGGCGGCGCCCAGGGCGGACAAATCGTGCCCCCCCAAGATACTTCAGTGCATCATGAGCTTTCCACGCCCAGGAGTTGGGCCAACGCTGAGGATGCCGTCCCGCCTCCTGCTGCTGCTCCTGCCGCGCCCGCGCCAGCCGTGCAGCATGGCGTTCCGGGGAACAGCCGTGACGCTGCGTCGCGTCCGGCTGGATCCGGCTCGCCTGCAGCAGTTCCGGCGGCGAAGAGCCGCGGTGCCCGTCGACGCGGTGCGACTGAAGAGCAGCGTCGGTATTGGCGCGAACGTTACCACGCTCGTAAACGAGCACGGGCAGGACAGGCCGGCGTAGTGGGCGATGATTCGTTTTCTTCCGACTGGGACCTTTCCGAGGCCAGTGCCCCCTCCTCATGGGCGTCTGACGTCGATGACCCACGCCCCGATCCCAGCGTCGAGGAGATCGCAGCCCTCATCGTTGCCACTCCCCCGCGCCTGCCTGCCATTCCAATTGGCGCTGGCAGCCCCGAGGTGCCTACCGATGTGTTCCGTGTATTCTCTACCGAGATCACCCGGACAGAGTCCCTGGCCGAAGTCATGTACGTCTTAGCGCGCCAGTCGGCACATGTCACACAGTTGATGGGCACGAAATCGTATCTCAAACGTCCTGATGGCCGCGGTGCTCAGGCGGCGGCCAAGGAATTCGATCGGATGGTGCAGCATCCCGCATGGCTCCCACCACAAGAGCTGGATTCAGTCCCTGAGACCGCACGCATCGTGAAAGGTAAGTTGCTCAAATCGGAAAAGCATTGGGAGATGCCTGAGGCACTCCACGAATGCAAAGCTCGCTTCGTAGCAATGGGAAACATCTTATTCGATAAACGGATGCGTGTTGTTCGTTCGAACCCTGGCTCACTATGGGCGCCCGTTTCGAGTCTTACTGGCGCCCGTTTCGTCCAAGCTCGTAGCCTCGCCATGGGTAGAGAGACCGAGACAATTGACCTTCTCAGTGCTTATCTTCAGGTCCATCTAGGTGGCGACGTCGAATACTACATCATCATCCCCGCTGAGGTCATAGACATTTTGCCCCCCAGCCAACAGTCTGAATTCCGATCTCTCCGGATGCCGGTGCGTCGCCTCAAGCGTGCGTTGTACGGGCTGCACCGTTCCGGATCCGACTTCGTCACTGCTTTTTACCCAGTGGTTGGCATGGAACAAGTGGCAGTCGATGGAAGAGGAACCCGCCGTGTTTTATTGCTGGCATGACACCCTCGAGCGCGATGCTCTCCAGCATGCTGTGAAGCTCAAAGCATGGGTCGATTCTGAACTAGCTGCTAGTCGAAATCCTTTTGCTGTCGTCTCTGATTGTTCGCCTACCACTTCGTGGCACGAGGTGTCCCAGAGAACTATAACGCCACAGCACCGCCAGCATCGTAGTTCAAAGCATTGCAGCACCATGGCTACCTATGTGGACGACTGCGAGCTTGACGCGCAGAAGAAACACAGACCCATTATCTGGAATATCATACGTGTTATGTTTGCTTCGAAGGACTCTGAGACTGTTCAGAAATTCTTAGGCTGCATTTTCAGCCCGCCTAAAGCCATGACGGTCGCAGATGGTAGGTACGGAGTTGTCTCGTGTATCACGCAATCGGAGTACTGTATGCGTATCGTCCGCGACTGGGAGGCGGTTACTGGCCGCGTAGCTCGACCGACCACCACGCCTGCCCAGCAAACAACACCGCCTCGACCCGAGGACCTTCCTCTTGCAGAGGCCGGAACAGGTAGACGTAAGATCATAGGCGAGAGTTTTTATTCTGCACGTTGTTCTCGGCCTGATACTTCATTTTCAGTTGGCCGGATTGCGAGGTACGTTGATAAGTGGTGCCCGTGGGATATCTTTCGGCTACGTCTGATTTTGGTCTGGTGATGTTGAACGCTGGTGATTCTTGGGATGACCTGAGCCTTGCCGCATGGTCAGACGCCGACTTCAACTCCCCCAAAAGCACCACGGGGTTTTACCTCGAGCTTGTTGGCCCCAAGGGGTCTCAATACCCGTTGTCTTGGGGCGCCGCTCGGCAAGACATCACAACCGCGAGTTCTGGAGAAAGCGAGTCCCTGGCCTGGGCGACCACGGCCAAGCATGCAATCCGCCTAGCGGCAATGGTGGAGTACACCCGGCCGACGCCTGTAGAAGTTCGTGGACGCATGGACAACCAAGCGGTGGAGCTCGCAATTAGGAAGGGTCACAGCCAAAAGCTAGGACATCTTAAGAAACATGCAGAAGTATCTTTGTTATTCCTGCACGAATGCGGCATCCTCCCAGAGCACACTCCAGGCTCTGAGAACATCGCAGACGTCTTCACCAAGGCACTTGGCCACAACAAGCTCGTTTACCTCACGGGCCGTCTGTTTGGTATTCCGGTCCGTAGGCTGACCAACGGCTCGATTCGAGTTGGGATGGTTCGGATTGCTTCGGCCCCTGACTCTTCCTCCGCCTCGCGTCCCATAGCGCCGATGGCACTACCGCCTGGCCAGAGGATGGCTGCTACCGTCGCTCGCGCGGTCGTGCTGGACAACGCGGAGTATTTTGCTCTGACAGCAAGCCGGTGCGACACGGATCGCCCAGCGCAGCGGAAGCGGCAGATGGTCTTGGAGGACCTCCAGGCTCAGCAGTTGCGGAAAGCTGACCGCCTCGCCGAGCAGCTTCGGGCGGACGCCCGGGCCAAGAAGCCTGACAAGGACAGCTGCGCTGTTATATCACGGCCGGCTGGATCTGTCCGCTTCCGGGCCGACGTGGGCGCAGGAGTGCCCATTTGGGTCGCCGCCAGACACGAACATGCACGGAAACGAGCCAAACACGATCCACGACCACTGGTTACGACAACATCTGCGACTTCACCGGCGAACCTTGCCCCGTCAACGATCATTCAGGTTACAATCGACAGCTCGGATGATGATTATTTCATCGCACAGTGTCTCAACCCGCTCTCCGGGGACAGCTTCGAGGTGCGAGTCTCCAGGGACGCCCGGTACGGTGATCTTGTGCACGAGGTCTGCTGCAAGATCGAAAGTCCCTTTACGCTCGTTTCTGAGACAGGGCTTGGTTTGGACACCCTACGCCGTGACTACCTCGTCAAAGACGTGCCCGATTTGACCGAGGACATCTTGCAGGGAGCGACGGCTCAGGCAGAGGAGAAGCTACCTCGTCAGCATAAGCGCTGTTTCCAGCGCCCGCCGCTCTCCGACAAGCAGAGGGACCGAAAGCAACACAACCGCAACGAGAACAAGCGAGCCTTGCGGGCCGCTCTGAAGACGACGACGCCGAAGTCAAGCGGAGCACCCCCAGGAACTACTTCGAAATCGTCCGGCGCACCACCGTCTACGACTGAGGGCCGTTGCCCCATCGGGGCGCGCCCGGTATCTAGGAACGCCTAAGTACAGTACGCACACCGACGGTTTACACATTTATGGGCTGGCCATTGCACGAACCTTTTGTAGTATATAATTGCACTTTGCTAGGCTAATCCTTGTACGCAGTACGTAGGTCTGATCAGCCTGCGGACTCCGAGGGGTCATGTGCGTCAGGTTTCCCGCTTCTCTTTCCCTTTCTCCCTGCCTGTCGTGCGCGCCCCTCCGCGGCGCCATCCCCGCCTCGTCGCCCCAGCACGGCAGGGCGGCGTGCGGAGAGAGAGAGAGCTGCCGCGCTGGTTGGCTCAAGGGTAAAAGGCATTCCGCAAGGAGGAGGAGGAGGAGGAGGAGGAGGAGGAGGAGCGGTATCTCGGAGCAGAGCGGGTTGAGATAACGGCAGCTCAAAATCTGTCCCTGGACCCCTCCCGGCACTCGTTTCCCGAAATGCGTCCAGCCGCGGCGGCGAGGGGACCCCCCAAGTGCCAAAACTACCGCTGTCTCCACGCGCCCTCCTTCGAGCATCGGTACCCTCTTCCTCCTCCGACCTCTCATGCTACATCTTCGGGGGACCCTGCCTGTCCCGTCGCGCCCCCATCCGCGTCGAATCCGTGCCGAATTCATATATGACCCGTCTCCGAACCCAGGGTCTCGAGCCCGCCCGCCCTTCCTGCTGCCCAGAACCAGTGCTGGGCCACCTCGGACCCCCACACGGCTCCAAATCGGTACCCTCGTCGCGATCCTGTCTTTCCAGTCGGCCTCCCCCGCCACCACCCCGAACTACAGGAGGGGACTGGCCCAGTCTGGGATGGACAGAACCCCATTTAGTAAAACGTGGTTTAGGGAAAACGACCTCGGGCCCAAACCTGGAGGGCGCAAGCCTGGAAAATGACGGCAGCGGCGCCCTCTCGAGAACCAAAAACGGACAATTCACTAATCGACGTGTCAGAGGGGGGTTCTGTCCTCCCCCGACCCAGCAGGGGGAAACATGGATCTGGAGTCGGCGGTACATCGCCCATAGAACGGCGGTGGGCCCCCGGTGACGAAACCGCAGGGCACTGGGCGGGGTGCCCTCCAGGGCTGAACGTAAACGGTGTTTTTCCTTTTTGTTTTGTCTTCGTTTTCCCTCGCCTTTGTCTCGAACCCGCAATTACCGCAAAACTAAGTCGAAACGAAAACGGCCCACGAAATCGCCAAAAACACCGTTTGGGCCCAGCCCTGAGATCGGCGGTGGGCCCCCGGTGGCGAAACCGCAGAGCCCCTGGGCGGGGTGCCCTCCTCCTTGCCACTGCTCGAGCGTCCATTCCCTGTGCATTTCTCGGTTTCGTGCGTGCCTTTGCCTGCTCGATGATCCAGGATGCTCCTCCAGGGCCCTCGCCGAGGAAAAAAATGCACACGCCCGGGCGATGCCAGGCCTCCGCGCCTCGTAGTCCACGGCCAGCGCCAGGCCAAACCCGCCCCGCCCCTTTCCCAATCCCCCTCTCTCATCCGGCCCGACCATAGATCTTGGGCGCCCGAGTTATGCGGGTAACTCGGGCCCAGGGTAACTCGGGCTCGGATTTCCGAAAAAAACGAACCCGAGTTAACCCTGACCCGAGTTACCCCTGATGATCGGCGGTGGGCCCCGGGGGGCGACACCGCAGGGCACCCGGGCGGGGTGCCCCCCCTCCGCGCCTCGTAGTCCACGGCCAGCGCCAGGCTGAAGACGTGCGCCGCCGCGGCGCCGGCCAGCGCCCCGAGGGCCGCTCGGCGGGCGCCGCCCGCGGCCACGAGCTCCAGGGCCAGGGCCGCCGCCGCGGAGCAGAGGCCGAGCAGCAGCGGCCTTAGGGAGCCCACAGAGGACGTCATGCGGGATGACGATTATCAAAACAAATGGGGGGGAACGATTAAAACATAGTTTTCTGCTATTTCTGCACAAGTTTCTGACTGGAGGAAAACGATTACAAACAAATGTTTTCCAGCCCGCGGTCGGTTTTTTCTAATCGTCATCCCGGGCGCCGCCGCGTGAACACGACCCCCGGTCATTTATTAATCGTCATCCTCCATTACGCGCCCAGCTATGTACACGAACACGACCCCCTGACCCGCGAGACAGGCCGCGTGATACGAACATTCGCGCGGTGCGAACTCTCGAAACCAGCGTGGATTCATGTACGTGTACGTCCTTCTGTCGCTCCTGAGGCCTGGGGCTTGTGGATGCCATGGCAGCGGACACTCCAACAGTCCGATCCTTGGGTCACAGACGTGCTTGGAGGGTGTAAAGCACGCTCGAAACAATGTTTCCAGCATGTTCTTACACAGTTGAAGCATGCTTGAACCATGTTTTAGACATCCGGAGCTCATTTCGCAGCATGCTGCCTCTCCATGAATCGACTTCCACAACCTTCGGCGGCTCGGAGGAGCGGCGTCAAGAAACCTACACCGGACTCATTTCTATAGCGCTCACTTCTATAGTGCTCACATTCAAATTGCACTCCAGAAGGGGCCGCACATGCAGGCACATGCCTCACAGTCGAATACACATGCCCATGCAACTCCACAAAAGCCTCAACAGCACTGCCGCACATGCGAGCACATGCCGCACAGTCCGATGCACAGTCGGACGCACAGTCTGGCAAAACTCTCAAAACATAAAACGCACATGCCGCAGAGTCGAAACATCGGAGGAGGAGGGAGGGACAAATGACCAGGAAAGAGGAATGAGGGGAGAAGCGAAGGGAACGATGGAAGCTGGTGCGGCTGGCACTCAAACTGAAACACCATACCCGCATAAGCGATGTGGTATGATATAACACCAATCCAACACAAGGATGGGGTCAGCGCTCCGGTCTGTGCACATCACCCCGCACATGCCCGGGCACGTGCGCACAGTAGGACATTCATCCAACAGCGCCCGCACATGCTGGGCACATGCCTGGCACATGCTGCGCACATGCCCGCGCAAAAAACGGCCGCACATACACCCACCCAGGGGTACAGAAGTGAGTGCGGTGTAGTAATCACCCAACTTCGCGCATCACGCCGCACGATGCGCGGGTACATTCGCGCCCTCGCGAGGTCACCTTGGAGAGGGGCAGCTCTCCGGCCAAGGCCGCAGCGCGCGAAGCGCGATTATCTTCGCGCCCCTGGCGGTGACCTAAGAAGTGGGTCGTACGCGAGATGGCATCGCGACCACCGGATAAGAAATCCAGGGCCTGGTGGACCTGAAATCGTGGCTTGGCCGTCGAGACCACCGCCGCCCGTATCAGAGAAGGAATCCTCTAGGGTCTGAAGCCTCCTAAGCGCATTCCTTGACAAACGCCCCCACCGTAGCGACCACGCGCGGTGGCTTACGCGGGCCGCCAGCGCGGCACGCCACCCTGGAAACGAAGGCGCTGACGCGCGACCTTACGCGGGCAGCATGTCAGTGCAGACGACCCCGTCTTTCTGCGCCGCGCAGGTGGGCCCCGAAGAATGAGCGGCCGCAAATAATGCAATGTGATTTGCACATCTTTCCCGGGTAACAGTCTTTACCACCCGGGGGGGGAGGGCGGCTGGGGCTCGGGGTGACGCTAACGCTTGGGCCTGGGAGGGGCACGTCGGGGCGGGGGTGCACTGCAATCGGCGTGGTTTGCGCGTGAGCACCAGCATGTGCGGGGGGGTCTATGCCCCCCTCCCTCTGTACGATCGCAACCACAACCCAAGCAAGGCGTGGCCCGGGTAGCGACCGTCGCTACGCGCCAGAGGATGCAAAGAAAGTCCCGTGGGATCCGAATAACTTCGTTGCTTGGCGGCGCGCACAAAGGGGTGGAGGGAGGGGGGAGGGCTTCTCAGAAGGAGGCTGCTTCTCAGAAGGCGCCGGCCTCACATCTACAGGTAAGGCCCGCGCCTTCTAAGAAGCAGGGGTGCTTCTAAGAAGCCCTCCCCCCTCCCCCCACACCCCTCTGCTTGTGGATGCCACGACAATGGACACCCTAACAGTCTTATCATTGAATGCAGAAAGGGCGTTTAAAATGTCGGAAACATGTTCTAAACATGTTTTGAAAATGTGGTTTACAAGCTTAAGACATGTTTAACACATGTTTCAGACCTCTGAAAATTATTTGGCAACATGCGCCCTCTCCATTGATCGTCCTCCCCCCCCCCCTCTGCGCGTGGCTGGCTTACAGCACCATCCCTCGGGCCCTCGGGGCCCCTCTTGGAGCCGCCGAGGCCTCTCTGGCGGGCTTCTGCGCGTCAGGGCCGCTGGCAGGCGCTTGCCCGCCGCGCCTGGGAGGGCGCCCACTCCACGTCTGCGCCGACCCCTGGCAGGCCCCTCCTGGGACCAGGCTCGGTGTCCACGCCGTCCTGGCTCTCTCCATCGCTCGGACGTCCATTCCCTGTGCATTTCTCGTTTTCGTGGGTGTTTCTTGGCCCGATGGTCGAGGATGCTCCTCGATGGTCCTCGCTGGGGGAAAGAAGCACACGTCCAAGCGATGCCAAGGGCTTGGGCATGGAGGCGTATATGCCCAGAATAAGCCTGGCCAGGTTAGGTGCAGGTCAAGAGTTGGTGCCCTCCGCGCCATACACGCGCCTCGAGTTTTCCGCGATGGGCTCGGCAGCCCACCAGTCGCCAGAACTGTCCGAAGTCAGGGGGGGAAGAGATACCGATACAGCTGCTCGTCCTGGAGATCCCTCGAAGACGTGCTAGTCAGAACGCGCCTCCGGTGAGGTCTGTGGAGCAGCGGTGCCGGTACCTTTTCACTCCCCTACGAAGGGCTCGTAAAAGTGTAGGATGCAAAGTCGACGGAGATGGCCGTGGGGGGCTGCCCGTCCTTGTACACCTCCCGCCGCGGGACGCCCATCAGGCTGGCGGAGTCGTCGTCGCCGCTGAGGATCCTGACCACTAAGCTCTCCAGAAAGGTCGCTTGATTGCCCAGCTGGCGGTGGTACGCTTCCGCTGGCGCGCGGTTCTTCAAGAGGCCCTCCCCTGCAGCGGTGATCCTGATCCAGGTCTCCCAATCTAGCCTATAGTGGAAAGGAGACGCGAGGCAAGGCATCCTGTCCAGACTCCCTGGCAAGCACTTGAAATCCAATGGCCTCCACTGCGTATGCGGTGCAGTGGGGTCTGGGTCATGGGTGTATTGCAGCACCACCTGCACGCGGTGCTGATTGATGAAGCCAAAGACGCCCTGGGAGTTCATCAGAAATCCCACCAGCCCTTTGGGCGTGAGTGGCTTAGCGGATTTCCTCTTCCACCCCCCTTCTTCCCCTTCGGGGAAGGGTTTATCACAGTCCCCGATGTTTGAACATCCCCTCTTCCAGGCGACCAGCAGCCAATCAAGACTAATGCCAACTACCCCCCTGCCCTTGTCAAACAACACTATGAAGCACGCTGTGGGCAAACATTTGGGTCATGCTCGTGGGGCCCGCGAACACTTTGTATTGCTTCTTGACCAGGTGAACTCATATTTCCTGCTTTGCGAAAAGGCCACAACCCTTGTCAAAACCCATGCAACATGCACTTCGCGGCTGACTCTGGGTCATGCGCAGACACCCTGCGATCCCTGTTCATTGGCACTTGACAACCACGGGGTGCTGGCATATCCGCTGCTGTGTGCAGGCCCACCAGACACTATGATGACCTTCCCGACGAAATTGCGCACTGCTTTTCGGCAGGGATGGTGGAAGCCGATATCTTCCCCGATGTGTGCTGACACGTGCGCGCGCGCTGCTGCTCTTGCCGGCGGTGCGCGCGGGTGGCGCCGATGCCGCGTGGCGGGCCGCTCTGCGTGAGCGCCTCGTTGAGCGGCCACGGGCGCCTGATTAAGTCAGGCGAATTCGCCGGGGGGCGTGTTGGGACGCGTTCATCCCCCGCCTTCCCTCCCTCCCTCCCTCTTCCTCCTCTGTGCCACTGGGCTTTCTCGCGCTCGTGAAAGAAGTGCGCGCGCGCCCCTGGCACACTGTGCGCGTGCCCATGGCGTGGCACAGCTGGCGCGGCTCGGCCATGCGGCACACATTGCGCACGTGGAGCACGTGGCGCATCTGGCGCGCGAGGCGTGCCTGGCACGCTTGGGCCTCAGGGGCGACTGGCGCACGTGGAGCGCCTGGCACGCGTGGCGCACGTCGCCCCATCGCGCACATGGGGTATGGATTGGTTCCCAATAGCTGCCAATCCATGGACGACCGCTGAACATGCTGAGGCCTGGGTGCTACTTATGTGTTGGGAGGGCGGGTGGGAGTGAGCGAGACCGCTTGCGGGCGGGGAGGGTGTCTTGACCCCTCCCCCTGCCCCCTTCCTGGACGGGGGGGTTCGCGACCGATTGGAGCGTCCAAAATGGCCTCGGCGAGAAGGATTCTGGTAAGGTTTGGGGCACAGTTTGGCCTCCTGTGAAGGGGTGTGGGGCCCCCCCTTCTTTGATCGATCTCCTCTAAAATGGCCCCAAGATGTCCCCTTGTGGCTCCCGAGTGTGCCCCCAGACGAGCCCCAAGGGGGCCCCCAGAGGCGGCCAGGAGGCCCCAAGAGGCCCCAAGAGGTCCCTAAGAGGCTCCCATGGGAGCCTCAAGAGGCAGCAAGAGGCTCCCCCGAGGCACCCAAGACGCTCCACGAGTTCTCTGGGACCGCCAAGAAGCTCTCACGGTGCCCCAACAGGACTCCACGAAACTGTCAAGAGACCTCCGAAGAGACTCCAAGGCACATTCAAGAGGTCTCTAGACTTTCTGCTTGCCCTCCTCCTCCTCCTCCTCCTCCTTCATCTCCTCCTCTTCCTCATCCGCCTGTTCCTCCTCCTGCCTCCTCCCAACTCCCCCTTCCCCTCCTCCGGTGCCTCCTCCATCCTCCCCCTCTTGGTGTACGGCGGCTTCCCCAGCCCCTGATTCCACTGCATGCTCCTCCACATCCCCGACCAGGGCAACTCGCCAGGCCATCGTTTCTGAATGGGTTGGTGGGGTTACTTTTTCGTCGCAACCGCGGGCGAAGGCGCCAGCGGCGAGTCGAGTCAGCTCGGGGGGCTACGAGCGGAACTAATTGCCGGCGCGCGCGCGGGCTGGTGGGGTTACTTTTTAATCAGCGGCCGCGGGCGAGCGCGCCGGCGGCGAGTCCAGTCAAAGCGGGCCACGCAGCGACGAATTAAACTAAAGCGACGGAGGCGGGCAACACCTACAGCGGCTAACCGGGACCTCACGCAGCAGCTCAGCGGCGGACCGGCGAGTGGGGGGGCAGATGAAACTGAGTCGTACTGCCAGCGTGCAAGTATGGGCTGGTGGGGTTACGCTTTTTGATTCGCGGCCCGCAAGGAAAAGTCCAGAGGGCGGTAAAATGAGGCTGGTTGGTGGGGTAACGCGAAGCGTCTAGAATAAGTCATCGTAATTGTTGATCCATGGCGCGGGACCGAACAGCTCCTTCAGCGGATCCTTCGACTTGAATGCCATGAACAACACGAGCGCCACGTAGGTCACCTGCCGAAGGCCACGGTAGCACCGCACCAAGAGCCGCTTTCCCGGCGCCAGCTCCTGCAGAAGCGCGGCTGATGCCGCCGCCGAAACAGTGGCCCTGCTACGTCTAGGGCATGCCCAGCTCAGCGCGGCATCGTCTAGCAAAGCGATACAAGGCAGCGCGCCGATAAAATTTATCCAAGCGTAGTTCCCCGTGCCCACGATCATGAGCTGGAATCCTATCTCCAGGGAGGCTGCAAACAGACGGCATGCCCGTGCGGGCACCAGCATGAAGAAGGGCAGCACCAATTGCTCGAAGAACGTCATTGCCACCTCGACCTTGTGAAAGTCCTCTGGGAGGTGGTGCATATACCATGACAGAGGGTTGGGAATCGGCTGCGTGTAGTAGTGTGTTGTCGTGCACGTGAGCTGCCGCCAGCAGGCGCTCGAATTCCTGCCCACCTTTGACAAGCCAGCGCCGAGAAGCAGCCGGAAGGCACACCACCGGACCAGCCAAAGCACCAGCCGTGGCGGGGGCGTCCAGCTGGCGAGGCCGCGCGCACAGCAGGGGCACATGAAGATGAGCAGGAATCCCACCTCGCAGGTGAGCCACTCCCAGCCGTAGCTGAACGTAAACGGCGCCTGCAGGTTCACGATGGACAGGTACAGGCACCACAGCGCGGCGGGGATGACGAAGCTGCGAAACCTCCCCAGCAACATCTGCAGCGCCAATGCTGTGCCGAGCCAGCTGACCAGCTCGAGCTGCCAATCCCCATAGCCCAAGCCTAAGCCCTCCAGTAGCGCGAACGCCGGTGTCGGGCGGCCGTGCGGGTCCCTCGCGATCGGGCTGAGGCCGAGGGAGCCCCACAAGGCCCGGTGCTGCGTGGCCGAGACGAGGAAGCCGCACAGGTAGCAAAGGCCCATGCCGCGCAGCAGCAGCTCGCGCACCAACCAGTGGCAGTCCCGCAAGTCCACGGTCTCAGGCCCCCTCCGCTTGCTGGCGGCGCGCGCGAGGGGTCGGGGCGAGGGGGGGGCAGCCAGAAGGCAGGGGGGGCCTCAGAGAAACACCCTGCGTCCCGACGGCCGTCCCTCCGCCTCGGTCCCACCCCTGCGTGCGCGCCGCCAGGCTTGTCCCTCAGCGCCGCCGCTCTGGCGTGGTCGCCCAGCACCAGCGCCAGCGGCACCACCGCGCACGCAGCCGCCCCCGCCAGCACCGGCGCCGCCGCCAGCCAATCGTCCGTCCCGAACAGGCGAGCCTCGGCCAGCGAGGCAGGCACCCTGGCGCGGGACAAGCTCCCAGCGAGCAGCCGGAGAAGCTCGGGTGCCTCCATGGGAGGACGCCAACTACGCACCTGCACCGATCCTGGCCAGCCCTCCGAGCCAAGGACAGGTGCGTGTGCCCCTCCTGGCTTGGCCGGGAGCAATTCGACCTTGGGCCCAGGTGTGGCCTGGCCAGGCTCCGCGCACATGTGTGCACTTGGCTTCCCCGAACTCCTGTGTTGGTAGTCCCGCCGCTCTCTGGGGGCGCGCAGACGGGGGGAAGGGGGGGGCCTTCTCAGACGGCTTCTTAGCAGGGCTCGGGGGCTTCTGATACAGTCGGGGCGTTGACCTAGGGAACTCTGAACAAGGAACGAGGCCCCATTGTCCCGTCAGTTAGACTTCGATTCCCCATGGAAAACCTGAGGGAAACGCAGGGCAAGCTGTACCGAGCCCCTCCCCAACGACAAAGGTTCCTTCTTCAGCGCCCCGACTGTACGGCTTTTTCAGCGTGCGGGAGGGCCTATGGGAACCCACCCCGTCTTCTTGATTCGAAGACCGCCCCCGTCGAGCTGCTGCCCCCTTCGGTACGCCGCCGAGGCGCCGCCGAGTTTTGAAGAGCAGGTGCCGAGGCAACAACAAAACAGCACAACACCACATGGCAGCTGCTTCAGCGCATGTGGGATTGCTGCTTTGAGCCTCGCCAAGTTATGTTCTCATGTTGTCCGATCTCAGGAACACGGCTAGACCTCTCCACCCAGCCTGATTGCAAATATCTATGCTTAGCAATGCCGTTGCGTGGGGGTCCCAGTTGCGATTCAGTTCACCTCGTCAGCCCCCCGACTCTCAGAGCCATCCCCACGAATATTTTGTCGTGACGTGCGGACTCGGGTCTCACGACCCATCTAGTACTGCGCAAACGCCAGAAAAGTGTTTTTCTCGACGCCTGGCTTGGGGAAAGACACAGGTACTGATGCCGCTGCTCGTCAGACTTCTGATGAGCTGCGCCCTGACCAGAATCCCACCAGCCCTTTGGGCGTGAGTGGTTTAGCGAGCTTTCTCTGTCCTCAACCCCCCAACCCCCCTTCTTCCCCTTCGGGGAGGGGTTTACCTCTCCCCCTACCCCCTCCCCCTGGGCCTGGAGAGGGCGGGCCGAGTGTAGCCAAGGGGGTCTTTTTCGACTCCTGGGAGGGCCAAAAAACGACGACCCTCACGAGGATTCTGGCCCCCAGGGGGGGGGGAAACCGTTTGGCGCCTCAGACCGTCTTTGAAGCAAAAAACATTGATTTTACTACGGTTTTGGCCCCATTGTGGCCTTTTGAGGGGGCCGCGCTCCTCTTCCTTCATAGCAAAATCATGGATTATACGACGGTTTTGGCCTCATGTTGTCTTTCTCTGGGGCCAGCGCTCTTTTGCGCTTCTGAGGAGGTCGCAAGAGGCCCCAAGATAGTTCCAAGAGGCTCCCAAGAGGCTCCCAAGAGGCCTCCAAGAGGCCCCCAAGAGGCCCCCAAGAGGCCCCAAGAGGCCCCCAAGAGGCTCCCAAGAGGCCCCCAAGAGGCCCCAAGAGGCTCCACGAGGCCCCCAAGAGGCCCCCAAGAGGCCCCCAAGAGGCCCTCACGAGGCCCCAGGAGGCCCCAAGAGGCCCCCAAGAGGCCCCACGAGGAGCCCGAACGACTCACACCAGAACGAGAGACCCCGAACGACTCACACCACGAGGAGCCCGACCGACTCACACCAGGAGGAGGAGCCCGAACGACTCACCCCACGACGAGGGGCCCCAACGAGTCACACCACGAGGAGCCCGAACGACTCACCCACCTGGAGGGGCCCGAGCGACGCACACCAGGACGAGCGGCCCGAACGACTCACACCACGAGGAGCCCGAACGACTCACACGCAAGGAGGCGCCCGCACGACTCACACCAGGACGAGGGCCCCGAAGACTCACACTATTAGGAGCCCGAACGACTCGCATACAAGGAGGGTCCCGAACGACGCACACCCGGACGGGGGGCCCGAACGACTCACACCACGAGGAGCCCGAACGACTCACACACAATGGGGGGCCCGAGGTACTCATCAAGGAAGGACGAGGCCCCCAGGAGGCTCCCCAGAGGCCTCCAAGAGGCCCCCAAGAGGGCCCAAGAGACTCCCAAGAGGCCCCCAAGAGGCCCCAAGAGCATCCAATAGGCCCCCAAGAGGCCAAGAGGCCCCAAGACCGTTTGGCGCCTCAGACCGTCTTTGAAGCAACACACATTGATTTTACTACGGTGTTGGCCCCACTTTGGCCTTCTGAGGGGGCCGCGCTCCTCTTCCTTCATAGCAAAATTATCCCGGCAAAGCAACCTAACATCGATGTGTAGGAGCATATCTGGAAGCATTCCCCTTAAGATTCGGATGAGAATCCAGTTGTAGAATTCTGCTGTTCTCGCAGTCGTAGTCGCATTCGCGATGACAGTCGCAGTGGCAACGGCAGTCGCAGTCACAGCCTCAGCCTCAGCCTGCCTCAGCCTCAGCCTCAGCCTCAGCCTCAGCCTCAGCCTGCCTCAGCCTCAGCCTCAGCCTGCTTCAGCCTCAGCCTCAGTCTGCCTTCAGCCTCGGCCTCAGCCTCAGCCTGCCTCAGCCTCAGCCTGCATCAGCCTCAGCCTCAGCCTCAGCCTGCCTCAGCATCAGCCTGCCTCAGCCTCAGCCTCAGCCTGCCTCAGCCTCAGCCTCAGCCTGCTTCAGCCTCAGCCTCAGTCTGCCTTCAGCCTCGGCCTCAGCCTCAGCCTGCCTCAGCCTCAGCCTGCATCAGCCTCAGCCTCAGCCTCAGCCTGCCTCAGCATCAGCCTGCCTCAGCCTCAGCCTCAGCCTCAGCCTGCCTCAGCTCAGCCTCAGTCTGCCTCAGCCTCGGCCTCAGCCTGCCTCAGCCTCAGCCTGCCTCAGCCTCAGCCTCAGCCTGCCTCAGCCTCAGCCTCAGCCTGCTTCAGCCTCAGCCTCAGTCTGCCTTCAGCCTCCGCCTCAGCCTCAGCCTGCCGCAGCCTCAGCCTGCATCAGCCTCAGCCTTAGCCTCAGCCTGCCTCAGCCTCAGCCTGCTCAGCCTCAGCCTCAGCCTGCCTCAGCCTCAGCCTCAGCCTGCTTCAGCCTCAGCCTCAGTCTGCCTTCAGCCTCGGCCTCAGCCTCAGCCTGCCTCAGCCTCAGCCTGCATCAGCCTCAGCCTCAGCCTCAGCCTGCCTCAGCATCAGCCAGCCTCAGCCTCAGCCTCAGCCTCAGCCTGCCTCAGCCTCAGCCTCAGCCTGCTTCAGCCTCAGCCTCAGTCTGCCTTCAGCCAGCCTCAGCCTCAGCCTGCCTCAGCCTCAGCCTGCAGCCTCAGCCTCAGCAGCCTCAGCCTCAGCCTCAGCCTCAGCCTCAGCCTCAGCCTCAGCCCTCAGCCTCAGCCTCAGCCTCAGCCTGCCTCAGCCTCAGCCTCAGCCTGCTTCAGCCTCAGCCTCAGTCTGCCTTCAGCCTCAGCCTCAGCCTCAGCCTCAGCCTCAGCCTCAGCCTCAGCCTGCATCAGCCTCAGCCTCAGCCTGCCTCAGCCTCATCATCAGCCTCAGCCTCAGCCTCAGCCTCAGCCTCAGCCTCAGCCTCAGCCTCAGCCTCAGCCTGCTTCATCAGCCAGCCTCAGTCTGCCTTCAGCCTGCCTCAGCCTCAGCCTGCCTCAGCCTCAGCCTGCATCAGCCTCAGCCTCAGCCTCAGCCTGCCTCAGCATCAGCCTGCCTCAGCCTCAGCCTCAGCCTGCCTCAGCCTCAGCCTCAGCCTGCTTCAGCCTCAGCCTCAGTCTGCCTTCAGCCTCGGCCTCAGCCTCAGCCTGCCTCAGCCTCAGCCTGCCTCAGCCTCAGCTCAGCCTGCCTCAGCATTCAAAATGTGGCCCGGGAATGGAATTCTGGGAACTCGAAGAACACGAAGTGGCCTACAGTTGGCTCCGGGCATTCAAAATGTGCCCGGGAATGGAGTTCTGGGAACTCGAAGAGCACGAAGTGGCCTACAGTTGGCTCCGGGCATTCAAAATGTGGCCCGGGAATGGAGTTCTGGGAACTCGAAGACCACGAAGTGGCCTACAGTTGGCTCCGGGCATTCAAAATGTGGCCCGGGAATGGAGTTCTGGGAAGTCGAAGAGCACGAAGTGGCCTACAGTTGGCTCCGGGCATCCAAAATGTGGCCCGGGAATGGAGTTCTGGGAAGTCGAAGAGCACGAAGTGGCGTACAGTTGGCTCCGGGCATTCAGAATGTAGCCCGGGAATGGAGTTCTGGGAAATCGAAAAGCACGAAGTGTATGACTGTATGCGAAAAACGATCCCCCCCGGCAAACCCCAACGCCCCCCCAACGGCCCCCAACGGCTGCCCAGACCCCCCTGTGGAGTAATGTGCTGCTCTCTTTTTAGCCCATTAGAAATCTATCAGTCTTCGATGTTAGGTAATCATTGATTGTACGACGGTTTTGGCCTCATTTCGTCTTTCTCTGGGGCCCAAGAGGCCCCCAAGAGGCCCCACAGAGACCCCCAAGTCCTTCATAGCAAAAGCATTGGTTTTACGAAGATTTTGGCGTCATTTCGTCCTTTCAGGGGTTACCTCTCACGGGCTCTTCTGAGGAGGTCGCACGAGGCTCCAAGATGGCCCCAAGCGGCGCCCCAAGAGGCTCCCAATAG